ATATCATGCACACATTCCACCTCTCTTTAATCAAATTCTATGAAATAATTTTCCTTTGTATATGTTTACTCCCCAAATTCTTCCTAATTTTCTAATAAATTAATCTTTTCCTTAATACATTCAAACTCTCTCCTTATCTATCTGTTCTCACTTTCATATTTATGACTTTCCAGTTTCATATTTTCCACAGTAATCACATTTTCTAGTAGTATGCTTTTGAACTTTTAAAAGTGTATGCTCAAATCTTAACCTTGTTATCACTCTCTCCTTTCCATTTCTTCTGTTTCCTACTATCTTCTAAATTTTATCTTCCTGTTTCTTCTTCATCCCACGTTTTTTTTTGCATTTTTCCATCAGTTTTTCTTTAATAATACTCTTTCCCTTCAGTTTACTTGTTTTAACTGTAAAAGTAACAGGATTTTGAATAGCCTTATTTGCCATTTTATCTGCCTGCTTGTTTTCTTCTACCCCAATATGTGCTGGAAGCCACACAAATACAATAAAACCAATATTTTCTTATTCTGAATAATGTATGAAATATTTCTAATAGAAGGAGAGCAATATTTGACAGATTTTACAGTTACATCCAAACAAATCTTGACCCTTAAACTCATGCGGCGATTTCAACAGAAAATCTCCTCCTACACATCGCTTCTGGAAAGACATGAAAGATGGGACTTCTTTGAAAATGAATGAAGTTCCCCCATTTGCCCTAAATGATGTCATTTATCATATGGACCATCTTCCCTAGCCTGTTTCTGATACTATTAATATCATCCTTCTATTGGGTAAATATATCCACTGTACTAAATGGAGAAATGCTAAACATTCCTTTCACTGGTTTATTAATTAGACTTAGATTAGTCATTTTGTTTACACAAGGGTAAAACAAAAAGAAATTTCGTTTAGAACAGCTCTCTGGACAATTTCATTTTTTTAAGTGCAGCCTTGAGTTAAAAAATAAATACTGACTTAATCCCTTTTTTCTCTTCTCTTAAAAAGATTTAAAAAAAAGGCAAAATTGCAACAACAAAAAAATTCCCAACATCTGCTATTCTAATTGCATCCTCCTTTTTCCTTTTCATATTCCTATGGCTCTGAGTTTGATTTAAATGTTTGTTGAGATAAATCCCTGCTATTTGTTTTACTTCGTTCTTTTCAAATTTAATTAATCTCCATCTGTTCATGTACACTTTTGCCATCCTCTCTGGGGGTATTTTTTTCATGTAAATGTCAATGGCTTAATAATAATAAAAATAAACTTCAGCTGCAGTGAAATTAGCATGACTGTAAGAAGCTAAAGGTTTTGTAGCACAACGCGTTTTGGGTTTATATACGTTTCTTGCTGTAACAAAATATAAAAACACCACATTTGCAGTTTATTCTATTAAGTGTTTCAAAATGAAAAAATATGAACACATTTAGAGTTGGAAATACCGATAAATCAGTGTAACGTTAGCTTAGCTCGTGGGCTAACCGGGGCGCAAACGCTAAATTGAGGGATGATTCATACGCTTAAAACAATAGAAACGTTAACGAAATCAAATTGCAATTAAATTAACGGATAGTACCCGTTACCTTAATGTTTGTGTTGTTTCTGTTTTGAATGACGCTTAAGTGATAGTCCAGGGCTCCTGCAAATGAAGCTGGCTCTCTTCCGTCTAAGCCTGAAAGCCACGTCATTCAAACACTCTTCTTCGTATTTGTTAAAATGGCGGATTGCAGACTACTTATAGGTGTATACCGCCACTTACTGTACATGAGCCATAGAAGCACGTTTTATAGATTAAACATTTTCATATATATACTTTGTCTTTGACCTCTTCAATTTTAGCTTTAAAATATATTTTATTACAAACAAACGTGATGTAGTTTGTGTTATATAGATATTTTTAATATACACCTTTTATTCACATTTCCTTTCATAGAAAAAAAAATCATCCAAAGCTGAGGGGGGCGGTAGTGAGCTCCATCAGCTAATAGTGCTCCTTGGCGTAGGAGTGGCTCCGGTGGTTCGACATCACCTCACCCGGCGTGAAGAGAACGACGGCGGTTAAGCTAGATGGTACTCCGATTTGGTAGCTAGCGTTAGGGATTTTTTCACCTCCACTTGAAGAAACATTGAGCCAGACCAAACCACCATGGCTCTCTACGAATATGTCACGAAGGAGCAGCTGGCGGGGTTCGACAGATATAAGGTATGGCCGCTGAAGCCTACTGTTGGGCTGTTTGCGATTATCTACGGTGGTGCTGGGAAAATACAAAATTACCTCGAACCTTAGAGATTTTTCTTTACCCCCTTTCCCCGATTAATATAAATCAATTACACGTAAAAAGAATTTACATGTATACTTTGTTTCATGGTCATTTTCTGTTATAAGTTGAGATTTAATTTAAAATGTTAAATATCTTTATCGTTACTTTGCGTTTTGAGGGCGTTTTAGGGTATATTATACTCTCTTACCCCTCTTCTTTTATATAACATCTCCCCTGGTGTTAACACAACCCTCCAACATCATTTTAATGTTGACCGGAAGTATGGTGAGCTGCTTCACATTGCTGCAGAGGTTAATGGTGAACGATTCTGTCTATTCCGGAGCCCAATTTGGGTAAAATATTATTTAAAATCTCTCATAAAAAATTTATTGTAGGTAGATGATCTATTTTTTATGTTTATTTGTAGTAGAGCTGTAATAACACCCCAATTAATTCCTCAGAATGAAGGTGGGAACTTGAATTTGCATCCAAATGCACAAGACTTTTAATTCAGTGTTGAAAAATATTGCATCCAGTTGGTTGTTTCTGTTAGTTTATCTCTTGAAAATATCGATGTGATAATCTTACATTAAACTAGTGAGCGTAGTTCCTAACTGGTATTAGATTAGTGTTTTAAAACTGTATATAATGGCTCACAGTTACACTATATTGATGACAGAAATGTAAAACAAAACTCACATGATTTGATCTGATTTTAAATTTAAAATTTCAAACCCCGACAACAACAATTTTTACTGTGGCTTTAAAAAAATCATATTACTGTAAAAAATGTGTCTTGGTTTTGATACATAATTCAG